TTTAATTGGTTGTTCGAAACTGCTATCTAGGTAGAGACTAGATAATAATCTCCCTTACCATTGCACAGTGGTCCCAATCCAGACTGAAGTTGCATGTGCTTGTTGTTGTGTGTCTTCACGTTGTTTCTGACTTGTGGTGACCCTAAGGTGAATCTGTCATGGGGTTTTCTTGGCAAGATTTGTCCAGAGGATTTTTTTGCCTTTGCCATAGGGTTGCCATGAGTTGAGATCAATTCAAGGGCAGTTAACAACAACAGCATCCTCTTAGTCTGAGACAGTGCGACTTGCCCAAGGTTACCCAATGTGTTTCCATGACCAAGCAAGGATTCAAACCATGGTCTCTAGAGTCATGGTCCAGTACTCAAACCACTACATCATGCTGGCCCAGATAAAAAAGAGAAAGAGAGTGCATTATGTGATTTAACATATCATGCAATTTATCCCTGACGGCCACTCCGATCTTGATGATACATAAGCAAATGGTATTTGCATCCATAACTTCATTCTGGCTGGCAGCGGAGTTCCTTTTTTATTTGTTGGATTTATAAATCTGGGTTTATAAAATCAAATTAATATTGGATTAAATTGTTAAAACTTCAGATTAAAATGAAATGGAATGCTTAAAATCTTATGTATAAGTGAAAGTCTTGGTGACTCTCCTTGGTTATCTATCAAGCTCTGACAATGTCTGTCCTTTATTCCAGCCTTAATATCGCTGAGTCTGATTCCTTCAAGCCTCTCTCAGAGCCAGACCCAGACCCAGAAGAGAACCAGGTAGGTCATTGTTTGAGGGGGCAAGCCTTGAGCTAAAATTTGGTTGAAAGACAGTAAATAGTGAACTTCCTCAGACACCTGAAGGTAGCTGGAGAACTGAGATGTTGCTGCTTGGAAGATGTTCACTTACTTCACTTTCAAATAGGGCATTGCCCTCCCAAATAAGAATTCTGTCCGCTCCAAATGAAAATTTTCCTCGTCCCCAAATTTCTAGTATTGCAGGAATTTGAAATAGTTGAGCATTTAGAAATACAGCTTATCTACCCAAAGCAAAGGGGCAGGCAAAGGGATTAAAAGAATGTGAACACAGTAAAAATAAAGGTTCTAGGTATAAATGATTTTCAATGTCTCACTTTCTGGAATGTTGAAAATGTGGGAAGCGAAGGATTATTTTATGGGGAACATACACACACATAGAATTCTTATTTGGGAGGGCAATGCTCTTTTCTCTACCCAACCCCCTACATCCCTACTTACTTTCACTTCTGGGAAGCAGATCTTGTGAGCTTTTGCCTTGTTTTGGAATGCTGCAAACCTGCAGAGGGATAAAAGAAATGGGTGTGTAGAGAGTAGGAGGAAATACCTTAGTATGGAAGCTGATACTTCCAGTTCTCTTAAACACTGTTGTCCCTCCCCAATCTTCAATCCCACCTGTCCTGTATTAAAGAATACTTATGTAACCCAATGGCTTTGAAGCTGAGTTTCAGTGAATACTTGGGTTCCCTACAAACCCATTAGGAGCTCTGCAGTTAGAAGATCAGGGTTAAGCTGAATGTCTACAAGTTGCCCTGAGAAAATGCCATTGCTCCAGTTGATCTGAAATGGGCAGTTGCAAAGGAGGGTTTGGTATATTCCACTGTGTACATGCTGCATGTGTGTGGAAACGATAAGCCTGGACTTATCATTAAGTGACTGTGCACCTCAGAATGTGCACCAAATCCACAGCAACATCCTGGAATGCTTGGCTGCCAAGTTAAGGAAGGAAAGAAGGAATATAGAAAGGAAGGAATGATTACTCACACTTCGTAAGCCACAGGCATCATGTGTGTTTTGTGCTCTGTCAGCCTCCCCCAATTTTTGCCTTAACTCTCAATTTTAAGAATTCACTAATACAAGTGCAGATGCGAAAAATGTTTTTGGCCTACAATTCCCAGTATCCCCAACCAGCATGGGGGCTGGTCTCCTAGGGCATTCTGTGAGTTACATTTGAAAAATATAACTTTTCTGAACTCTCATATCCCATTTGGAAATATAGTATGTTCTGCTTCCAAGCTTCTCACAGTAGCGCTCCACTCTGCAATATTCGGTTACAATTCCTTTTTTGGAGGTGTGTGTGTGTTAGAATAAATTTTACACATACTGTACAATTGTTGGGTAATTTGGTTACTTCGTATGTGCTCAACAGCAGGATTAAATACAGTTGGCCCTCCATTTCCACAATTTCTTTATCCATGGATTTAATTATCCACAGCTTGAAAATATTCCAAAAAGATATAAATTCCAAAAAGCAAACCTTGATTTTGATATTTGATATAAGGGACACCATTTCACTATGCCATTGTATTTAATGAGACCTGAGCGTCTACAGATTTTGGCATCCATGGGGTGGGTAGGTCTGAAACCAAATCCCAGTGGATATCAAGGGTCCACTGTTCTGTCATCACAGCTACATGTGATTTCCTGTGTTTGTGACCCTTCCAATGGGGCTACAGGCATTCATTGAATAGGATGTTTTCCCTCTATCACATTCCAGTGGTTTTGGAGTCATTTCCCATCCTCTTTCTCTTTGTAAAAGTTGTGACTCTGTGCACACTAATCTTGTCTGAGGCTGTATCTTCTGTCAAGGGCTAAGGGGAGAAAGGCTCTGAAATCATGTGCCTGTGTAAGTACATTTTGAGGTGTCATGCAGGGAAGTATCCAGTACTTCCTTGTGCATCTCTCACTAGGCTGTGTAATAGCAGCTGGATGGCACCAGGCTGCCGCTTAGCCTCTCCTTGGCCCAAATGGCCACTGATTGGCCAGATGGGGGCATCAGGAGAGCCCCATTTTGCTGTCACCCTCCTTCCTACACTTTTGCACCCCTTCCTTCCAGGACTCCTTTATTGTTAAAATAGGATTTTGGCCAGAGAGAGGAAGAGAAAGGGAGAGGCTCTTCTATCTAGGCGCTAGAGTGATGACAATGCTTCCCTTCATTTCAAGGATATAGACATAATTCTGTCTAGCCAATATACGTAAAGCTTAAGAACTGACAGTTCTACCACCATAGGAAAGAGAAATAAAACAGCCCAGTATCCTTGCCATTTAACTACTCAAGCCTAAAATGCATCTGTTCTCCATATTTTTGATGTGATTTCATTTATCCCCAATTCTTCATAACATCTCTTGGAGAAAAACAATGCAAGAGAACATTCTGGCTGTTATGACAACAAATAAGGCACATGCTTTCATGTTATTTATTTAATATAGATTGAATATCCCTTATATGAAATGCTTGGAACCAGAAGTGTTTGGAATCTTGGATTTTTTTGGATTTTGGAATATTTACATATATATAATGAGATTTCATGGAGATAGGACCCAAATCTAAACATGAAATTCATTTGTGTTTTGTATACACTTTATATACAAAGCCTATTATATTTTATAAAGAATATTTTAAACAATTTTGTGCATGAAACAAAGTTTGTGTATACTGAACCACTGAAAAGCAAAGGTGTCACTATCTCAGCCATCTATGTGGACAATTTTGGATTCTGGAATATTTCGGATTTTGGAATTCTGGATAAGGGATACTCAACCTGTACATACATTCTTCATTTTTTTTCACTTAAAAAAGACAATATGATGCCACCTAAGAGTTACTTTGAAAAGCAACAGCAACAATAGCAGTAGAGGTTTGTGTATAGGAAGGTCTTCAACTATTGTGCAATGGTTTGCCATTGATTGGTGCCACAACAGAAAATGACTTGCTAAACTCAAAATGATACTTCTTAATCAGGAACAGAGATCTAGGTTGTCTCAGATTTGTCATCTTGGCTTCTAAGGGAGAGTTCAGGTTGGATTTGCTCTAGGACCCATTTATGTGTCTTTTTGGCAGCCATAGAACTCTCTTCCAGCACCACATTCTCTTCATATCAGCTTTCTTTACTGTCCATGTTTCACAACCATACATAGAAATTGGTAATATCATGGCACTGATAATGCTGACTTTAGTATTCAATGATATATCTTTACAATTCAATATCCTGTCTAGTTCCTTTATAGCTGTCCTCCCAATTCCTAGCCTCCTTCTGATTTCTTGACTGCGTTCTCCGTTTTGATTAATTACTGAGGAAAGGTATGGAAAATCTTGTCTTCATTGGTTCAAAACACACTGCAGAAATAATCCAGTTTGAGACTGCTTTAACTATCCTGGCTCAGTGCTAGGGAATCGTGGGAACTGTAGTTTATTGTGGCACCAGAGCTCTCTAAGAGAGAAGGCTAAATGTTTCACAAAACTACAGCTCTCAGAATTCCCAAACATTGAGCCAGGGCAGTTAAAATGGTCTCAAATTGGATTATTTCTGTGGGGTATTTTTTATTAGGGTCTACTTTAATGCTATGAAAATCAGCTATGGTGATTATTTTTGTTTTCATAATGTTCAACTGTAACTTGTCTTGGCACTTTCTTCCTTGATTTTCTTCAATATTTGTTCCAATTATTTACTATTTTCTGCAATTAGTATGCTATCATCCACATTTTTAAAACTGTAAATGTTCTTTCTTTCAATTTTCACACCTCCTTCCTCCAAAGTCTAATCAATTTTTACTTATGATACATTCAGCATACAAGTTTAACAGATGGGGTGATAAAATGCAGCCTTTTCTGACCCCTTGGCAATTGGAAAACATTCTGTTTCACCATATTCTGTTCTGATGGTGGCCTTTTGTTCTAAGCAAAGGTTACACATTAGGACAATCAAATGTTGTGGCTCACCAATTTCTTTACATGATCCATAGTTTGTCCTGATCTACACAATCAAAGACATTGCTATAATCTATAAATATAGACTAATTTTCTTCTGAAATTCTTTGGTGCATTGTACTATCCAATGGAGGTTTGCAATGTAATTCCTAGTGCCTCTGCATTTTCTGAACCCAGGTTACACATCTGGCATTTCTTGCTCCATATATGAAAAAAGTTAATATTATTAAATTAAATTAAAAGTAAATATTATTAAAAAATTAATTCTACTAAATTACAAAACTAAAACAGTTAAAAACATATTTAAAACTCAATTAAAAAGTTAAAAACATAGCACATTGATTGCTGAATTAATAATCTAGAGCAACATAAATAAAATATTTATTAAGCTTTATATTCCTCTCCCTCCCACCCATCCTTATGGCTTAAGGTACTGTAAAGAGCCCTGGTGGCATAGTGATTAAATGCCAGTACTGCAGCCACTCACTCACAAACCATAAGGTTGTGAGTTCAGTACCGCCAGGACTCAGGCTTGACTCAGGCTTGCATCCTTCCGAGGTTGCCAAAATGAATACCCAGCTTATTGGGGCCAATTAGCTTACACATTGTAAACTGCTTGGGGAGTGCTTAAGTGCACTGATAAGAAA